GGAGACATTTTGTTGATCAAGCTTGCTACAAACCCGTGAGGCATATCTTGTTGACAAGTTGTTGAACAGCATTGTCACAACTTGTTAACAAGCTTGCTACAAACTCGTTGAGGACATATCTTGTTGACAAGTTTTTGAAACAGCACTGTCACAACTTGTTAACAAGCTTGCTACAAACCCGTTGAGAACATATCTTGTTGACAAGTTGCTGGAACAGCATTGTCACAACTTGTTAACAAGCTTGCTACAAACCCGTTGAGGACAAAGCTGTTGGAACATCATTGTCACAACTTGTTAACAAGCTTGCTACAAGCCCGTTAAAGAGACATCTTGTTGAAAATTTGTTGGAACATCATTGTCACAACTTGTTAACAAGCTTGCTACAAACCCGTTGAGGACATATCTTGTTGACAAGTGTTGGAACAGCATTGTCACAACTTGTTAACAAGCTTGCTACAAACCCGTTGAGGACATATCTTGTTGACAAGTTGTTGGAACAGCATTGTCACAACTTGTTAACAAGCTTGCTACAAACCCGTTGAGAAGATATCGTGTTGACAATTTGTTGGAGCAGCATTGTCACAACTTGTTAACAAGCTTGCTACAAGCCTGTTGAGAAAAAATGTTGTTGACAAGTTGTTGGAACAGCATTGTCACAACTTGTTAACAAGCTTGCTACAAACCCGTTGAGGAGATATCGTGTTGACAAGTTGTTGGAACAGCATTGTCACAACTTGTTAACAAGCTTGCTACAAGCCTGTTAAAGAGATATCTTGTTGACAAGTTGTTGGAACAGCATTGTCACAACTTGTTAACAAGCTTGGTGCAAACCCGTTGAGGACATATCTTGTTGACAAGTGTTTGGAACAGCATTGTCACAACTTGTTAACAAGCTTGCTACAAACCCGTTGAGGACATATCTTGTTGATAAGTGTTTGGAACAGCATTGTCACAACTTGTTAACAAGCTTGCTACAAACCTGTTAAAGAGATATCTTGTTGATAAGTTGTTGGAACAGCATTGTCACAACTTGTTAACAAGCTTGCTACAAACCCGTTGAGGAGACATCTTGTTGACAAGTTGTTGGAACAGCATTGTCACAACTTGTTAACAAGCTTGCTACAAGGCTGTTGAGGAGACATCTTGTTGACAAGTTGTTGGAACAGCATTTTCGCAAATTGTTAACAAGCTTGCTACAAGCCTGTTGAGGAGACATCTTGTTGACAAGTTGTTGGAACAGCATTGTCACAACTTGTTAACAAGCTTGCTACAAGGCTGTTGAGGAGACATCTTGTTGACAAGTTGTTGGAACAGCATTGTCACAACTTGTTAACAAGCTTGCTACAAGCCTGTTGCGAAAAATCTTGTTGAGAAGTTGTTGGAACAGCATTGTCACAAGTTGTTAACAAGCTTGCTACAAGCCTGTTGCGAAAAATCTTGTTGAGAAGTTGTTGGAACAGCATTCTCACAACTTGTTAACAAGCTTGCTACAAGCCTGTTGCGAAAAATCTTGTTGAGAAGTTGTTGGAACAGCATTGTCACAACTTGTTAACAAGCTTGCTACAAGCCTGTTGAGTGTACATCTTGTTGACAAGTTGTTGGAACAGCATTATCACAACTTGTTAACAAGCTTGCTACAAGCCTGTTGAGTGGATATCCTGTTGACAAGTTGTTGGAACAGCATTGTCGCAACTTGTTAACAAGCTTGCTACAAGCCTGTTGAGGAGATATCCTGTTGACAAGTTGTTGGAACAGCATTGTCGCAACTTATTAATAAGCTTGCTACAAGCCTGTTGAAGAGATATCCTGTTGACAAGTTGTTGGAACAACATTGTCACAACTTGTTAACAAGCTTGCTACAAGCCTGTTGAAGAGATATCCGGTTGACAAGTTGTTGGAACAGCATTGTCGCAACTTGTTAACAAGCTTGCTACAAGCCTGTTGAGGAGATATCCTGTTGACAAGTTGTTGGAACAGCATTGTCGCAACTTATTAATAAGCTTGCTACAAGCCTGTTGAAGAGATATCCTGTTGACAAGTTGTTGGAACAACATTGTCACAACTTGTTAACAAGCTTGCTACAAGCCTGTTGAAGAGATATCCGGTTGACAAGTTGTTGGAACAGCATTGTCGCAACTTGTTAACAAGCTTGCTACAAGCCTGTTGAAGAGATATCCTGTTGACAAGTTGTTGGAACAGCATTGTCGCAACTTGTTAATAAGCTTGCTACAAGCCTGTTGAAGAGATATCCTGTTGACAAGTTGTTGGAACAGCATTGTCACAACTTGATAACAAGCTTGCTACAAGCCTGTTGAGAACATATCTTTGTTGAAAGGCTTTTGGAACAGCATTGTCGCAACTTGTTAACAAGCTTGCTACAAGCCTGTTGAAGAGATATCCTGTTGACAAGTTGTTGGAACAGCATTGTCACAACTTGTTAACAAGCTTGCTACAAGCCTGTTGAAGAGATATCCTGTTGACAAGTTGTTGGAACAACATTGTCACAACTTGTTAACAAGCTTGCTACAAGCCTGTTGAGGAGATAACTTGTTGACAAGTTGTTGGAACAGCATTGTCACAACTTGTTAACAAGCTTGCTACAAGCCTGTTGAGGAGATATCTTTGTTGAGAAGTTGTTGGAACAGCATTGTCGCAACTTGTTAACAAGCTTGCTACAAGCCTGTTGAGGAGATATCCTGTTGACAAGTTGTTGGAACAGCATTGTCACAACTTGTTAACAAGCTTGCTACAAGGCTGTTGAGAACATATCTTTGTTGACAAGTTGTTGGAACAGCATTGTCGCAACTTGTTAACAAGCTTGCTACAAGCCTGTTGAAGAGATATCCTGTTGACAAGTTGTTGGAACAGCATTGTCACAACTTATTAACAAGCTTGCTATAAGCCTGTTGAGGAGATATCCTGTTGACAAGTTGTTGGAACAGCATTGTCGCAACTTGTTAACAAGCTTGCTACAAGGCTGTCGAAGAGATATCCTGTTGACAAGTTGTTGGAACAGCATTGTCACAACTTGTTAACAAGCTTGCTACAAGCCTGTTGAAGAGATATCCGGTTGACAAGTTGTTGGAACAGCATTGTCACAACTTGTTAACAAGCTTGCTACAAGGCTGTTGAAGAGATATCCTGTTGACAAGTTGTTGGAACAGCATTCTCACAACTTGTTAACAAGCTTGCTACAAGCCTGTTGAAGAGATATTCTGTTGACAAGTTGTTGGAACAACAGTTGTAGTACAATGTGTGTGGTACACACGTAAACCCGCACAAGTTGTCACAGAAAAAACGCGCAAATTGTTCCAGATCTACAAACAAGTTGTAACAAGGTTGTTGTGAAGCCGATATCAGGATGTGTTCGCACTGCTTGTTCCCAGTTGTTGTGACAAGTCTGGAACAAGTTGTTATCATCTTGTTACAAGGTTGATGACGGTAACAGACTTGCTACAAGTTGTTCCAACAAGACTAATACAGGCTGTTCGTAACAAGTTGCCACGAGCTTGTTGTCATCAACTTGTTAGCAACTTGTTACGTGCAGACGATATCAGACTTGTTGGAACAACTTGTTGCGAGTCTGTTGGCCTCATCAACCTTGTTACAAGATGATAACAACTTGTTCCAGACTTGTCAACAACTGGGAACAAGCAGTGCGAACACATCTTGTTGACAAGTTGTGAGATTTTTACGCTTGTACACATAACACATTCAACCGTAAAAATTTGGAACATAATGTTAAGACTTAATTAACAAGTTTCATATTATCATATTTCAGCGCGTATCACGGGCACACAAGCCTGTTAACGGACCTTTCCTCATATAAACAAAAACAAATGAACAAGACGTGCGATAAGGATTATGTACACGTGATCCCTGTCCCAGACCCCTACCGTGGAAAATATCGAGGTTACAATGAAGAGACTGGCGTCAAGTATGCTAATGAAGTCAAGGAGACGATAGAAAATGCTCACAGTAAAGGACGCAAGGTTAGCATATTGCCCATAGATATCTTATATACACTAGATAGTGCATCTAATTATTCTGAAATTCAAAAATTGAAGCCGTGATTGCAGTCTCAGGTCGTTCCCATGAAATTAGAAGGTTCGTATGTTTCCTATTTCTTAAACAGGGAACTTAAACATCAAGTTAACCCGATTCCAAATTCGTTTTTAAAATATTCAAGTGATGAAAGTTATTATGGCCGTCATCTATTCAAATGGGGGTAACCGCTGGAATATTCTTGGCTTCAATTTTACTAAAAGAGATGCGCTATCTAGTGTATATAAGATATCTATGATATTGCGCTGTTTATCTTTAAGAGGCAATTTTTTCAATGTCACGTATTTGCGATGAAAAGTATTCAAAATCTAAAATCTTTTTGGTGCTCCTCTCAGAATAACTTTGTTTTAGCTTTCCAGGTGATCTTGATACGCGGAAAAGTACTGGCACTAGTTGTCAAATAGAAATCCATTTTATGATTAAAACAACTGAATATCTCCTGTAATATACTTTATTTCGATTCCATATTTTTGTCAGAGCTATAGTTCTCATAACCAAACATAATTACAAAATTTCAACTAGTTTCATGAAGAATAACGAAAGATATAATTGACTGAATACATCAAAATGGATTTCTATTCGGACAACCCTTTCTGAGCGCTGATTGGCTAAAATACGAACACGAGATCACCTGGTTATTTTGTAGTTTACAAAGTCAGTAACCTTTTTAAATGTATCTGGCGGTTGAGAAACACAAAATAATAGTTAAATATTGTCAATTTAAATACAGATGCTGTGAAATTGACGCCATATTTATACAGCGATATAAGCAAAACGTACTGAACTTCAGACATCTTTTTCTCTTTGGCGTACCATCTAAAATCTCTTCATTTTAGCATACTTTTACAGATAAAGCACTAAACATACTTTTTAAGTTTGTTTTCCGCTTGAGAAACGTATTAAAAATTTAAAAAATTTGAATATAGTCATACCCAAGTGGCAAGTGGAAAAGTATATGGAAAAGTATATGTGTTTTGAGCGCGTGTTACGTTACATACAAAAGATTCTCTCCTCTTAATACGAAAATTTGGGGCATTGCCCAAGGACAAATTGAGGTTTGTCTTGCTTTATCAAGCAGAGTAAACTGAATTTGCAATTAACCATGGTATAATTTCTACGATGTACATAACTCAATTCGCTTGCGAAACATTGCGTCCCAGCCATCTTTCCCAAAGGTGGGCAAACCAGGAACCATTGTATAGTTTCTGCATGATACGTAACTTAATTCAACCCAAATGTCAGATGCCAAGCATTTATTTGATTGGCTTTTTTTGTACTATATTAGCCAAACTGGCTTCCGAATCATATTATGAACTTTTGCAGTCGACGGTTTAATACTGTTACTGTACGTAAAAATTGCAATTTGTTCGCGTCGTTTGCAATTGCTAGAGCAATCAGCCCATCAATATTGCAATATTGCGTGACAATATTGCAATGTTGCCCTCAACGGAACATCGGATTTGACTGTAAGACTCGACTAATTATAGCAGGACGATTTCGTTTCCCTAAGAACATAACCTCTGCTTTTTAAATTAAGGACGGCTGTTTTGTATACATTTTTATGATGCTGCTATTATTTAGATTGCGGCGTTTTTGGTCGAGTCAGCGCAAGGAGTTGGCGGACAAATTTTCTATCCTGATGGCTTTCTCAAACATTCTTTCAAGTAAGAAATGCGAGCTGTATTTAAAGTTTTCACCTTTCCAACCAAAATTTTTTGTTGGTTGAAATATTTGTATACGTCTAGTTATTAATTTCCTGTGTAGTATATGCTAAATGCTTGGGTTATTTTCTGTCTCTCTAGGCATGTTCGTGAGGCAGGGGGTGTCTGCATTGCTGATGAGGTTCAGACTGGATTTGGTAGAGTTGGTGATAATTTCTGGGTGTTTGAAGGACAAGGTTGGTTTTTACTTCATTGCTTGGTGGTGATAGTAGTGGTGATGATGATAGTGATAAAGGTGGTGGTGACGATGATGGTAGTGATGATGCTAATGGTGACGATGATGATAATAGTGATGATGATGATAGTGATGATGATAGTGATGATGATGATAGTGATGATGATGATGATAGTGATGATGATGATGATGATAGTGATGATGATGATAGTGATGATGATGATGATAGTGATGATGATGATGATAGTGATGATGATGATAGTGATGATGATGATAGTGATGATGATGATGATAGTGATGATGATGATGATAGTGATGGTGATGATGATGATGATAGTGATGATGATGATAGTGATGATAGTGATGATGATGATGATAGTGATGATGATGATGATAGTGATGATGATGATGATAGTGATGATGATGATGATGATGATGATGATGATAGTGATGATGATGATAGTGATGATGATGATAGTGATGATAATGATGATAGTGATGATAATGATGATAGTGATCATGATGATGATAGTGATCATGATGATGATAGTGATCATGATGATGATAGTGATCATGATGATGATAGTGATCATGATGATGATAGTGATCATGATGATGATAGTGATCATGATAATGATAGTGATGATGGTGATGATAGTGATGATGGTGGAGGTGGTGATGATGAAGGTGATGATCATGATGATGCTGATTATGATGATGAAGATGATCATGATGATGATGGTGATGATCATGATGATGAAGATGATCATGATGATGATGATGATGGTGATCATGATGGTGATCATGACGATGAAGGTGATGATGATGATGATGATGTGATAATGATGGTGATCATGATGATGATGATGTGATAGTGATCATGATGATGGTGATCATGATGATGATGATGTGATGATGGTGGTCATGATATGATGATGGTGGTGATGATAATAGTGATGATGCTAATACCCATGATGTTGTTTGTTGGTAGATGGTGATGATGATGATCAGGTAATGGTAGGGATGATGATAGTTCTGGTTATGATAGTGATGCTGTCTTGTTATAGTTTAGTTTCACTTCAATTGAAAAATTTCATTTTAGATGTGGTTCCTGACATTGTAACGATGGGTAAACCGATAGGCAATGGTCATCCGATATCTCTGATCGTAACGACACAAGAAATAGCAGACTCATTTGGTGCGTGTGGGGCAACATACTTTAATACGGTGAGTTTCAAACTGTACAGGTTCAAACACGGCCAGTTTTGGTCGTTTAGACCCCAGAAAAAGCGTAGAAAAGCCAGGAAATATTGTTTCCCAGCCATGTTTCTCAAAGGTGGGCAAACCAGGAAACATTGTTTCCTAGCCATGTTTCCCTAAGGTGAACAGTAATTCTAGGTATGCATTGTAAATTTTTTAACCTAAATGAAATTGTTTCTAAAACTAAACTTATATTTCAAATCTTTAACATTTAGTTTGGTGGCAATCCTGTTTCGTGCGAAGTTGCTCATGCGGTTCTTGACGTTATTGAAGAAGAAGGACTACAAGAACACGCTTTGCAAGTTGGAAACTTCTTGTTAAAACATTTGAAAGAGCTTCAGAAAGTACATCCACTCATAGGCGATGTCAGGTATTAGATTGACGAAGGTTTTTGTAGTTGAAACAATGAATACGCAGACTTTAGATTTAACCGGGAGCGGAAAATGTAACTTTAGAACGTGTTAGGTTCTAGGGTTGGGCGATATTAAAAAAATCATCTCACGATTATTGTCAAGGAAATTATGACGATATTCGATAATATCGCGATAAATGCAATAAGAACAATGACCACATTTTTCAATTTTAATTATCAAAGCATAGTAAGCTTATATATAATCTTATTAAAAGTTAAAACAATTAGTAAAACAACAAATTAAAGTAATATGAAGGCTATTTCTAGTCTAATATTTACTGGTCATAAACCTGAACTGTCTTATGCAGTGTCTACTGTGTCTCCGCTGGCACAAATGCAGTGGGCACACAGCGTAAGCAAAACTGACCTGCAATTTCATTGTTCAGCGGATTAATACGTAAATGTTAGCTTTTGTATCGTATTAAATTCGTATTTAATTCAGGAAATAGTTTTAATTCTTTTAAAAACTATATTTTCTAGGAATTGAAAGAATTTTTTTAGGATTTTATAAAAGCTATATACACATGCGAAGCAATATCACGATAGTCATCGAACATGACGATAATTTCGATATATCGTCGCTTAAGTTTCTTCCTTCGATACGAAAATCGCGATTGAAAATATCGCGATAAATCGAAATATCGCCCAACCCTATTAGGTTCAAACATAGTCTTTCGAGACATGGTCTGGAAACTCAGTAAACTTCAAAGCGGTTATAATGAGCTGGGATTTTATGTTGAACCGTACCCTTTATACCACCGTGCACATCCTTTGTTTTAGGTTTATGTACTATTTAAAAAACGAGCAGGAGTGTTATATTAGGTTTAAAGCCACGAGCGCGCAGCGCGAGTGGCTTTAGACCTAATAAAACACGACCTGCGAGTTTTTTAAATAGCTTCAAAAACGTTTGCATAATAAGTCAAATCTTTATATAAAAATCTTTATATAAAAATCTTTATATAGTTTGCATAACAATGGTCTTTTGTTAAAGTGTTCTTTAGCTGGTATAAACACGTATGCACGTGACTAATTTCTTACTCAAGATTGGATAATTGCTTCATGAATTATTAATGAGTTTTTGAATAATATTTAAATAGCATGGTTGAATGACTGAATTGAAACGTTGCTATTGGATGATTCGTTCATTATATTGAAATACAATGTGTTCATCGACCGTGCATCGCGCACAAAGACTTTAGCGGAGTTTCCAAACCATGTTTTGAAAGACCATGGATCCACGCAGTTCAGTTTTGCTGACAAGTTATTATTTGTTCATATGTAATAACTTTTGTTTTTGTTGTTTTTCAACAGAGGTAAAGGATTATTCATTGGAATAGAACTTGTAACAGACGAAGAAAAGAGAATTCCTGCAAAAACCGAAGCTTTGCAAGTTAAGCTAAAGTAAGTTTTACCAAATGTGGTTATTTTTGGGAAAAACAGCCAGGAAACAATGTTTCCTGGTTTGTCCACTTTTGGGAAACATGGCTAGGAAACAAATGTTTCCTGGTTTGTCCACCTTTGGGAAACATGGCTAGGAAACAATGTTTCCTGGTTTGTCCACCTTTGGGAAACATGGCTAGGAAACAATGTTTCCTGGTTTGTCCATCTTTGCGAAATATAGCTAGGAAACAATGTTTACTGGTTTGGCCACCTTTGGGAAACATGGCTAGGAAACAATGTTTACTCGTTTGTCCACTTTTGGGAAACATGGCTAGGAAACAATGTTTACTGGTTTGCCCACCTTTGGGAAACATGGCTAGGAAACAATGTTTACTGGTTTGTCCACTTTTGGGAAACATGGCTAGGAAACAATGTTTCTTGGTTTGTTCTCCTTAGGGAAACATGGCTAGGAAACAATGTTTCCTGGTTTGTCCACCTTTGGGAAACATGGCTAGGAAACAATGTTTACTCGTTTGCCCACCTTTAAGAAACATGGCTAGGAAACAATGTTTACTCGTTTGCCCACCTTTGGGAAACATGGCTAGGAAACAATGTTTCCTGGTTTGTCCACTTTTGGGAAACATGGCTAGGAAACAATGTTTCCTGGTTTGTCCACCTTTGCGAAACATGGCTAGGAAACAATGTTTCCTGGTTTGTTCACCTTTGGGAAACATTTCTAGGAAACAATGTTTCCTGGTTTGTTCACCTTTGGGAAACATGGCTAGGAAACAATGTTTCCTGGTTTGTCCACCTTTGGGAAACATGGCTAGGAAACAATGTTTCCTGGTTTGTCCACCTTTGGGAAACATGGCTAGGAAACAATGTTTCCTGGTTTGTTCACCTTTGGGAAACATGGCTAGGAAACAATGTTTCCTGGTTTGTCCACCTTTGAGAAACATGGCTAGGAAACAATGTTTCCTGGTTTGTCCATCTTTGTGAAACATGGCTAGGAAACAATGTTTCCTTGTTTGCCCACCTTTGCGAAACATGGCTAGGAAACAATGTTTCCTGGTTTGTCCACCTTTGCGAAACATGGCTAGGAAACAATGTTTCCTGGTTTGTTCTCCTTAGGGAAACATGGCTAGGAAACAATGTTTCCTTGTTTGCCCACCTTTGGGAAACATGGCATAAAATAGTATTAAAAACTCTACAGTCCTTCAATGAAATGAAATTAAGTGCTTTTTATTTCCATTTTAGATTAAAAGATAGATATATAATTGTAAGTTTGGATGGACCAGACGAAAACGTATTAAAACTCAAGCCACCGATGTGCTTTAGCCGTTCAGACGCCGAGTTCTTATTGAGCAACTTAAATGAAGTCCTAAGCGAAGTTGAAGCGACGATGCAGAGATGAACACGAAGTGTTTTATGGTTGAACAATTTTTAAGAGAAAAATAAACATTGGGATGTATAACCAGGGATAATCCGTCTATAACACGATGTGTATAAATGGCCCGAATAAGATTAAATCCGTTTGGACAATAACAGTTAAACTACGTCAAGTGTACCTGTTTTGAATTAGAAAAATTGATTGCAATTTTCCTCATTGCCTTTGCAATTAAAAAACAACTCCCTTGCAAATCCCTTGAGGGAAATTACAATGTTGCTAGAAGCCGATTAAATTTTTCTCGGTTTCTGTTAGAAGTTCCTAACTTCCTGTTCTGTTCTGCGCGTTCTTTCTCACATGGCTTCGGAAAGTAGGAAGCAAAGTCTAAAGGACTAACTCCAAACCAAATATACGCTTGAGTAACTTGTATAATTCAAAACTAACCGAGTTTTGAAATATGAATCGTGCAGTTACTGGCTAACTCCAAAAATCATTTGGAGCTAGGTATAACTCCAAACATCATGAAAAAGTAGGTATCTAAAGCCCTGGGCAAACTAGGAAACATTGTTCCGGAAACATTGTTTCCTACCAATGTTTCGCCATGTTTCCAAGAGTGTGCAAACACTAGGAAACATTAGTGAGAAACATAGGGAAACATCAAATGTTTCTGAGTTCACTAGGAAACATTTTTGCTTCTCGGGAAGCAAATTTTGTTTCCGCAACAATGTTTCCACGGATCGGCAAACAGGGAAACATTTGAGGAAACATCGAGAATCACAAATGTTCTTACCACAACAATGTTTCCTAGTTTGCCCAGGGCTTAAGCCTTGAAAGTTTCAGATTTTCTAATGGAAGCCCCCAGTGGCACACTTGGTATTTTGTTCTCGTTCAGAGGCTAAATTTTGATCTGCAGTTGTGGAGCAACCCAATCTCGTACCGTCGACCCTAGTCATGCTCTCTTAACTGCGTGTAAGGCGGGCTCTGGGTACAAGAATGTGGCATAGCCTAGCTCCACTTGAAGACTGGCTACCTCCACAAAAATTAAATCTACACGTATGCTTTCTCACTGCCGATTTTTCTGCCATTTTTTGGGGTACTGCCGTCTTCCACGTTTGAGAGTCTCTGCACCACAAAATAAAACTTTTTAGTTTTGTAGTTGTTTGTATAATGGTAAATTTACAGTTGCAACTTTTAAAAGTCGCTTTTCACGTTGTTTGAATGGACCTTTCCCCTTATAACTAAAATTTCGGTCTAGACAAAAATTTCATCACAGCTTGAAAGAGCATCACAAAATTAGTAATATTCCAAGGTTGTGTTGCAAAATCTTGTAAAATGCGGATAATATAGCCTTGCGAAGTTTGCCGTTTTTCAGTCATTTTGTATTACGCACGGGAAATTGACATCCGATTCGGGTGTTGGGGCATCAATTTCCCGTTTGTAATGCAAAATGACTGAAAATTGCAAACTTCGCAAGGCTCTATTTTCCTCATTTTACAACATTTCGCAACGAAACCTTGGAATATTAATAATTTTGTGATGCTCTTTCAAGCTGTGATGAAATATTTGTCTATAGACTTGCCTAGATCAAAATTTTGATTATAAGGGGAAAGGTCTATTGGCTAGAATCTTTCACGAGGACAGACAGTACCCCAAAAATGGCGCATTTTGGCCTTCGTGAGAAAGACCAATTGGCTAACAAAAATAATTCACCGATGACAACGTTCAGAACAGAACAGGGGCCAATTGTACGAAGGTCGGATAGCGCTATCCACCGCGGATAGTGATTTTTCAACCTTTGTAAAATGCTTGAAAAACTGTGAAACTACGGATATAGACGACACAAGTAGTATAAAAAACATTTAACTTATAAATACTAAACTTTAATACGAGTTATACCAATCAACGACCGATTTAACAAAGCTTGAAAAAATCACTATCCGATGGATAGCGTTATCCCGGCCTTCGTACAGCCGGCTGGGGGAAGTCAGGAAATTAAAACAGGAAGTTAGGAAAATTTAAAATGAAGTTTTTACAAATTCCCTCGAGGGTTTGCAAAGAGTTTTTCAAACTTGCAAAGCTGATGAGGAAAATTCCAAATGAGTTAGGAAGTCAAAAGAGAAACGCTTCACGTAGTTTACTTGATAATTTAGGGTTCGTAGTGGATTAATAAGTACAAGACCTTTGAAAGGTCTTTCAATTGTATGAAAAAGCAAAGAAAATATTTTTATGTCTTTAAATTCTCTAATTACTAAGTATTTGATATATGTATTTGTGAAAACGAGAAACCTTTTCTCCGTTGATATCGACAGGCTTGAACAAGGTTGTAATACACCCTAAGAACATGTTGTCCAGGATTGTTACAACTGAACAATACTGTAACAACATTGTTGACAACTTCTGGTCTGCAAACAAGTTGTTACAAATCTGTTCACAAGCTGTCGACAAGTTGTGTTCGCACTGCTTGTTCCCAGTTGTTGTAACAAGTTTGGAACAAGCTGTTAACAACTTGTAACAAGCTTGATGGCATTTATCAAACTTGTTACAAGGTTGTTCTAACAAGTCTGATACAGTCATGATATCCAGGTGATCTTGATACGCGGAAAAGTACTGGCACTAGTTGTCAAATAGAAATCCATTTTATGATTAAAACAACTGAATATCTCCTGTAATATACTTTATTTCGATTCCATATTTTGTCAGAGCTATATAATTCTCACAACCAAACATAATTACAAAATTTCAACTAGTTTCATGAAGAATAACGAAAGATATAATTGACTGAATACATCAAAATGGATTTCTATTCGGACAACCCTTTCTGAGCGCTGATTGGCTAAAATACGAACACGAGATCACCTGGATACCAAGAATGTTACAAGGTTGACGACACAAGGTTGTAACAATATTAGCAAGTAACAAAAGGCGCGTTTTAAGGCATATCTTAAGCATGCACAATAGATCGATTGCCTTTCCAGGTATCACATAGACATGAAATTCATTTTACGAAATCAATAAGTATTTTATCTTAAATAGTACTATTTATGATATTTGCAGTATTATTACCGAACCTCGTACCCAGGGTATTTCCTCTCGGGGAGAAAAGACCCTCAGCTGGTAGACCCTGGTCATTTGATCTGCTAAAATCTAGTAGATTTCTGATTAACTATCTTGGATTCCATTACGACAATCATACAAAAAGCAAATTATAAATTAAACTATAAAAATCATCCAAATATCAAATATTTATTGACCTCATCTTGGATTGCTAGTTAAAAATCTGCTAGATTTTAGCAGATCACGTGACCAGCGTCTACCATGGTCAGGGTTTGTAGTCTCCGAGACCAAAAAAATTCCAAAGACTTTCAAAGATTTTTCTGCCTATTGTCAAAGACTTTTCAAAGACCTTTGAGAGCAATCAGGTATCGAAAAATTGCGAGTGTAAGCACAATTTTTACCAGGTAATTAGTCGCATCAAATCACATCCTAAAATGCACTTTTTCATCGATATTTGCAAAAATCTTGCTTCAATCAATCTATTTTATTAGCTAGGAAATCGTATAATCAAATAATCGCTGACTAAAGAATTTAAAGACTTTTTTCGCTTTTACACACGAACCCTGATGATCTTTTCTCCCTCGCCAAGAGGAAAGACCCTGAGTACGAGGTTGTATTATTACCATACTGGTATGGCCTCGTTGTCAGTGATGATAAAGCGACATGCAAGCAAAAGACAATATTCGTCTCTGTGAACAAGTGGGCAAAACTGTAATTCATAATGAGCAGACTGGTTCCTGGCCCAGTGATAATACGAAACATCACACAAGGCGTACATTTTACGTTCTCACCCGAGATTTCTTTATCGTCTGAGTATTTTCTTTCAAAACTGTGTTAAGTTCATCCAGGGTCCAACCACTCTGACTAGATTTCTTAGCTATTCTATTTTTTGCCTGAAAAGATCAAGCCTAAGTGAGTTTCAATTGATTTCGAGCCAGAGATTATACACAACTTGGCAATTTTTGATGAAATTGGGAAGTTTTCTAATGGAATAAGGAATTTGTATTGCCTGTGAAAAACAACCTCTTTCGGCTCAAAAATGGTTATTTTTCCCGTGCATAATGCAAATTTATAGAAAATCAAATGCTGAGACCCCATCACAAATTCGCCCAATATCCATGTACACATACCGCTATTCGAGCACATTCCAAGAACTCGGTAATTTCTGTTGAGCATTTCCGATCTTCAAAGTTCTCCCTTTTAAAACAGTCCATCAGTTTTGACATTTCTTCCGTACATGATGCATCTTTTATAAAGAAGATAAAATGCAATTGTATTCACATAGATTTAGCTGATACACACATTTCCTCAGGACTGTAGTAACACTGGATCAATAAGAGATGATCCTTACTGGACCTCTAGGAAGAACAGTTTAGAACTGATAGAACTATCCAGTATATATAAAATTAGTTTAGTTTAGGTTTCCTCCTGTAGTAACACTGGATCAATAAGAGATGATCCTTACTGGACCTCTAGGAAAAACAGTTCAGAACTGATGGAGCTATTCAGTATATGTAAAGTTAGTTTAGGCTTTCCTCCTGTAGTAACACTGAATCAATAAGAGATGATCCTTACTGGACCTCTAGGAAAAACAGTTCAGAACTGATGGAGCTATCCAGTGTAAATAAAGTTAGTTTAGGTTTCCTCCTGTAGTAACACTGAATCAATAAGAGATGATCCTTACTGGACCTCTAGGAAAAACAGTTCAGAACTGATGGAGCTATTCAGTATATGTAAAGTTAGTTTAGGTTTCCTCCTGTAGTAACACTGAATCAATAAGAGATGATCCTTACTGGACCTCTAGGAAGAACAGTTCAGAACTGATGGAGCTATTCAGTATACATAAAGTTAGTTTAGTTTAGGTTTCCTCCTGTACTGGACCTCCAGGGAGAACAGTTTAGAACTGATAGAGCTATCCAGTATAAATAAAGTTAGTTTAGTTAGGTTTCCTCTTGTAGTAACACTGGATCAGTAAGAGATGATCTTTACTGTACTGGACCTCTAAGGACTACAGTTTAAAACTTGATAGAGCTATCCAGAATAAAATAAAGTTAATAGTTTGATAGGTCATAGGTAATCTTCCTGCAGTAACACTGGACCAGCAAAATATGTAATGAAAGTAATGCACCTATCAATGTTAACGGTCGAGGAAAGGGTGGGGATTTGATCAATTACTTTGTCCCGTGGGTCGGGATTTGGACTGACACTTTTTTTCTGAGTGGCCTGAGGGTGGGGATTTTTGACAGATTAACACTGATCTCAGACGATATACTGAAGAAACCCGAGCCAATTTTTGAACAAACTGAAGACTGGGCACTAGTTCATCGCTCGCAACCTCGCTTCCAGGCTCTTTCCTCCTAGGAGCGTAGAGGAAAGAGCCTGGGAACGAGGTTGCATCGCTCGCCGTCTCAGACGCGCATACTTTTTACAAGAAATATGGAGATTTCTGGACATTTTATAATTATGTTAATATCGATTTATCATTTATACTTATATGTTAAAACTTCACATTATATACTATTTAAAACACGAGTAGGACAGTTTTGTCAGATATAAAATGCGAAGCGCAGCCGAGCGTTTATGTCTGATAAAACACTCCTACTCGTGTTTTAAATAGCTTAAAATACGACTACAAAAGAATACTAATTAGGACGAACAATTATATAAGAATACTAATTAGGATGAACGATTATATAATGCCACATGCATACATGTGTTTTATCAGATTTTTAAGTCACTCCATGTGACGTAATATGGCTGACATGATTTGTCACAAGGTTTATGAACCATTAAGGGGTATTTTAAGTTATTTTGAAACGTTCATTATATTTGTAATACTTTTAAATTATACCGCTGAATGTATTCATGTCATTCCCCTATCACCTGACGTATAGAGTGCACCAGAAACCAAATACTTCAGGAATACAATTTCATCCCCGGGGGTGGGGAGTTTTGCCCAGGACTTTTGTTCCGAGGGAGTGGCATTTGACATTTTTTTCTGTAAAAATGTCAAATCCCCACCCCTTGCCCGACCCCCCCACCCTCGGGATTAACATTGATAGGTGCATAATGAGGCCATGAGGGTACTCACTTCCTAGCGCCTGTTTCTTCAAGATAACATGAGGTCTTAACGACGTAGGCACTTTTCCTCTTTTCACGCCATAGATTAAATGCGGTGGCCTTCCAAGTACAATCGAAGTCAAATTCACCATTTTAAATTTTTTTCCAAGTTTTTAAAAAGAAGCCTCTTCAAGACTTGGTTACATGAAGTACAGACCTCTCAACTCTCACGCATTCGGCGTGAGTCTCACGCAATTCGCTTCACTCTCACCAAAGATTAGATACTATAAAGATGTGTCACTCGACGTATTTCCCTAATGTTTGCGTGTCCGTAATTTTCCGTGCTGATCACGAGTGATCACGCGAGATGACGAGTGCATAACACTTACTGCCAAAATGGCGGCGAGACTGAATACAATAGGTTGCCATCGCGATGCTCGCGCTATATGACGAATTTTGACGAATTTGACACTTACTGGCAAAATGGCGGCTATAAAAAAATCACATTAGAGTGACACATCTTTATAGTATCTAATCTTTGCTCTCACGCTCTCACGCCACGTTCAGTAAATCTCACGCACATAGCAATTTCATAGTATTTTTTCAATAATATAATATTGTATTCTTAAAGGCACATTATTATAATCTATATTTTGTGTTCAATATATAGACCACAGTAAGACTTTTTTAAATGTTTATTTCATTAACAAACAAAGTCTTACTGTGGTCTATATATTGAACACAAAATATACTAATAACATGAGACTTAGGGAAAGTTCGTTCCTAAACATTTTGAATTATTATAATCGTTATACGGATCGCGAATCGAAAATATAATCGCGTGTTATTGTTCCTGCATATACGGCCCGACATTTTGCCCGCAATTTGGATACAAAATAGTACGCATATGTAAATACGGCGGAAAAAAGGCAGAATCAGTCGGAGCAGAATTCAATATGTAAATTATCAAAGGCAAATTAAAGCTCATTACTGTATCAGTCGCAGAAATACAGTTATTGTAACCATAGGCGTACCGGGCGGGGGGGGGGGGGGGGGGGGGGGGGGGGGGCGGTAGCCCCCCCAGTTTGTTTGGCAGTCGGGCAATATTCAATCATCAGTCGGGCAATTTTGGTTTGCAATTAAAAAAAATGGGACAAATTCTGTAAATTTTGTGTAAGATTAAGTAAATTTTGTGGCCAGTTTTGTGTTTTTTCGAAAATTTGTGTTATGTTCCGAAAAATTTTGGTGTCCGGAAAATTTTTTTGACCCCTAAAATGGTACACTGACCGAAATTTTTTTTGGGGGGAGGGGGGGAGGGTCCCCCAAATAATTTTTCCGGAAAAAATTTTTTAGTACTAGTCGGGCACAATCCCGAAAAGTCGGGCAATTTTCTTTCCGCCCCCCTAAATTTTTCCTCCGGGACGCCCATGATTGTAACTAAAGTGCCTTGTCTTAAAGGACGTTATGAAGCAATGCGGTATCTTTCATTAAAAAACACCAACTTTCATAATGCACGAAATGCCAATATTTCAGACCCCCGGACTTTTTATACAAAGGTGTCATCCACATCCCAATCTCACTCTTAACTTCTCTGCAAAGTTGAGAGGTCTGGAAGTATAGCAATTTGGGTTATGTTATGCTTGTTAAAAAGGGACAAAACATCAAGATCCATATATATATATTAAGATCCATATATGTATGTCAAAATTTGATATATATGTATTAAGATTCA